AAACAAGTTTAGAAATGCTCTTTCCATGTTATATTTTTAAAGTTTGAGGAGGACTGGTGTTAATCCTTTTTTAAATGTTTGATAGAATTTTCTAGTGAAGCCATCTGGTCCTGGGCTTTTCATCGTTGGGAAGTTTTTGATTACTGGTTCAGTCGCTTTACTGGTTATGAATCTGTTCAGATTTTTTATTTTTTCATGATTCAGTCTTGGTTAGTTGTATGTTTCTAGAAATTTATTCATTTCTTCTAGGTTATCCAGCTTTTTGGCATATACTTGTTCATAGTTGTCTCTTAGGATCCTTTGTATTTCTGTGGCATCCGTTGTAATAGCTCCTTTTTTTATTTCTGAGTTTAGTTGACTCTTCTCTCTTTTTCATCAGTTAACCTAGAAAAGCTCATTTCTTTTAGTTGCTGAATGATACTCTATTTTATGGATGTACCATTTGTTTATCCATTCATCTGTTGAAGGACATACTGGATTTTAACCATTCTAATAGATGTGTAGTGGTTGCTCATTGTTGTTTTAATTTGCATTTCCCTAATGGCATGATGTTGAACATCTTTGCACTTGCTTGTTTGCCATCTTTGTATGGTGAGGTCTCTATTTAACTTTTTTCTTGTTTTTAATTAGGTAACTTGTTTTCTTATTGTTGAATTTTTTTTTTCAATTTACTTAGAGTTGTATATGGCTTTATTGATTTGAATCATCAAAGGTACAAAAGAAGATACATTTGTACGAGTTTAACAACATAAAAAGGAGAAATTGTTCTATAAAAACCTCCAATGGTATTGATGGCTTCAGGGCTTATTGTTGAATTTTAAGAGTTCTTTGAATATTTTAGATACCAGTTCTACACTAAATATGTGTTTTTCAAAATTCTTTTTTTTTAATTAATATTTTTTATTATGGTGTTGTGGGGTACAGTTAAGGGTTAGGTATACAAGTACGTTTCATTCAGGCACCCTATTGATGAGAGGTGCTTGCCCGTCCCCAGACAGAATTTACTGCCATTGATCCCGTCTCCCTCCTCCCCCATAGTTTCCCACCACTGTCAGTCATTTTCTTATAGTATTACATTGGATGTTGAAGGTCCATTATATGAGTGAGAACATGTGATACTCGGATCTTTGTTTTTGTGAGAGGTCACTCAGTATTATAGACTCTAGTTCCATCCAGGTTGCTGCGAAATTGATGATTTTGTTCCTTTTTATGGCTGCGTAGTATTCCATTGTGTATATGTACCACATTTTTAAAATTCAGTTCTCTTTTGATGGGCAGCATCGTTGTTTCCAGGTTCTTGCTATTGTGAACAATGCTGCGATAAACATACATGTGCAGGTATCTTTTTTATAGAGTGATTTGAGTTCTTCAGGGTATATTCCCAGTAGGGGGATTGTGGGGTCATATGGGAGGTTGATATTTAGAGCTTTTAGGAATCGCCACACCGCTTTCCACAGAGGTTGCACTAGTTTACACTCCCACCAACAGTGTAGAAGTGTTCCCTTTTCGCCACACCCTCTCCAGCAGCTGTTATTTTTTGAGTTGTTGATAATTGCCATTCTGACTGGAGTTAGGTGGTATCTCAGCGTGGTTTTGATTTGCATCTCCCTGATGATTAATGAGGTTGAGCATTTCTTCATGTTTTTGTTGGCTGCTCGGATGTCCTCTTTTGTGAAGTGTCTGTTCATATCTTTTGCCCATTTGATAATGGGGTTGTTTGTTTTTTTCTTTTCAGCACGTTTTAGTTCCTTGTAGATCCAGGATATTAAGCCTTTGTCAGATCTGGTGTTGGCAAATATTTTTTCCCAGTCTGTAGGCTGTCTCCCTGCTCTCTTGATGGTTTCTTTGGCCTTGCAGAAGCTTGTCAGTTTAATAAGTTCCCACTTGTCTATCTTCTCTCTTATGACCTGTGGGTTTCGGGTTTTGTAAAGGAATTGGATGCCAGTTCCAATTTCCATGAGGGTATTTCCTTCATATTTTAAGGTTCTTATGGTTTGAGGTTTTACATTTATGTCTCTGATCCATTTGGAGTTAACCTTTGTGCATGGTGATAGATAGGGGTCCTGTTTCAATCTTCTGCATGTGGTCACCCAGTTTTCCCAGCACCATTTACTGAATAGGCAATCAGGGGTATCCACATAGGAAAAGAGGAAGTCAAGTTATCTCTCTTTGCAGATGATATGATTGTGTATCTCGAAAACCCAAGAGAATCTGTCAAAAACCTCCTTACACTGACAAAGGCCTTTGGCAAAGTCTCAGGATACAAAATAAATGTATAAAAGACAATCGCATTTCTCTACACCAATAATAAACAAACAGAAACCCAAATAAAAAACACAATTCCATTCACAATAGTCACAAAAAAAATGAAATACCTTGGCATCTTCCTAACCAGAGACGTGAAAGACCTTTAGAATGAAAATTATAAAACACTGCTCAAAGAAATCAAAGGTGACACAAACAAGTGGAAAAATATCCCATGCTCATGAATTGGAAGAATCAACATTGTGAAGATGTCCATCTTACCTAAGGCAATCTGCAAATTCAATGCAATACCCATCAAATTACCAGCAACATTCTTCTCAGACCTAGAAAAGACAACACAGGAATTCATATGGAAACACAAACGTCCAAGAATAGCCAGAACAATCCTCAGCAAAAAAAACAAAGCAGGTGGTATCACATTACCAGACTTCAAACTTTACTATAAAACTACCAATCATCAAAACAGCTTGGTGTATTGGTATAGGAACAGGCATATAGATCAATGGAATAGAATTGAGATTCCAGAAGCAAAACCTCAATTTCTCAACCAACTCATTTTCGACAAGGCCTCCACCACCTACCACTGGGGAGAGGAGAACCTATTCAAAATTCTTTTCCCAGTTTGTGGCTTGCCATTCCATTGCCTGAACAATATCTGTCACAAAGCAGAAGTTTTAAATTTTAATAAAGACCGTCTAATCAATTTTTTTCTTGCACGGACCATGCTTTTGATTTTACATGTAAAAAATCATTGCCAAACCTAAGTTCACCTAGATGTTCTGCTGTGTTACTTTCTAGGAGTCATTTTTCTTTTAAGAAATTGCTTGACACCGTGTACTTGGTTCTATCGTTATTTTTTTTCCCCTTAATATCCAGTTGTCTCATTTTCAGTTTTGTTATTTATGTAGCATCTCTTGTGCACCAAGTATGTTTCAATTTTGTCCTACCAATGAAGCATATATTTGGAATATAATTGAATAAGTTATATAATTCAATAAGTTACATAATTATATAATTCAATTGATTATAATTGAATAAGTACTCCCTTTGATTATACAAGTTCCTTTAATTATGATGAGGTTGTGTCTTGATAAATCCATTGTAAGGCAAAAATATAAGTTGAAAATGCATTTCCTATCCTGATAAACCCATTGTAAAGTTGAAAAATTATACATTGAACCATTATAAGTTGGGGACCACCTGTACTTTTTTTTTTTAAACAGAGAAAAACATTCTGTATCTCAGAAATTCTTTACAGGATTTATTCTTTAAGAATGGTTCTCAGAGAACAGAAAGATCTGCAGTTTACCTAGGACTTCTTATTTGCTAGCATCATACTAATGTACTTTTATATACTTTATCATTAAGTCATGTTAATAGTTGTTTTTGACTTTGTAACTTTGATTTTATCATAAGTTGATGACTGACTTGATACATCTCAAAAGTTCCACCATTTTTTGAAACCTTAGTTCCCCCAGTGGTATTAGGAACCACTAGAATATGCTATCTTTAGGGTCTTTTTCCTCACCTTAATGGTCCACAAAACAAACTACAAAAAAAGCCAACAATGAAACAAAACTCCACTTAAAGTTTAGAAAAAATTGCATATGGAGATTGCCTGTATTTTTTTAAAAGTAAAACTAGTCTTTTTGCAGTTAAATTGAATAATAAAATAATTTAATTTTGATTTTAAAACATTTATGTTCAGAGTCAGAATTCTGAGTTTTGAAGGGTGTTCCTGGCCTAGAAAATGTCAGTATGTGGGCTTTTGCAGAAGTTACAGTTTCATCCTTTTAGACAATATTATTCAAATTCATTGCTTCCACATTGCAAGTTTTTTTTTTTTAAGTAATCTCATTTCTAAATTAATCGATCACTTGTGTTTTTCTTTGAGTCGGAGTCTCACTCTGTTGTCTAGGCTGGAGTGCAACAGCATGTTCACAGCCACTTGTAGCCTCTAACCTACTGGGCTCAGGTGATCCTTCCGCTTCAGCCTTCTAAGTAGCTGGAACCACAGGCATGTGCCACCATGCCCAGCTAATTTTTTTGATTTATTGTAGAGACAAGGTCTCACCATGTTGCTCAGGCTGGTCTCGAACCCCTGAGCTCAGGCAATCCTCTAGCCTCCGCCTCCCAAAGTGCTGGGATTACAGACTTGAGCCACCGCACCTAGCAACTCTTGTGTTTTTTGAGAACATAGAGGTCCAAGGCCTGTTGGATCCTTGAGCTTGGAAAGCGTTTCCATAGGAGTTTGCTGCTGCTTCTTTTTTTTTAAATTTTGTATTTAAGCCTCCTTTTTCATCTCTCTTCTACATTTTCTTCTTCCCTTTTTTCTACTTAATAATTCTTTATTATTAAATTTATAAATCTTGATATGATTTTGCTGGCCCATTCATATCTGTTATTTATATGTTATTTCCATTTTTAAACACGAATATCCATATTTTCCACATTGAGCATCATCTCATAGTCAGCTAGGAGAATTGCTTTTGGTGGCTTCAGAGGCTGATACTGGATTGCCCTTAAATTGCCAGTGGACATCTATTCTGCTACTGTGGTAACCTGAAAGTTCTATTGCCTTTCTATTACCACCTTACAGTTTTTACTACAGCTTGAAGAAATGGTTAAGCATAAAATCCTTAGTATTTCTTATCAAACTAATTTTGTGTAGCTGGTTTAAATCCACACTGCCTTAATCCATGTGTCTTTTTCCCACTTCCTTTCTCTCCTCACAGACACAAGAGAAGAAAGGAAAAGAAGCAAATACTGGTTTTGGTGGGCCAGTTGTTAGTTCTCTTTATCATGAAGAAACCATCAGGTAACTTCTTTTCTGATCTTTGATAATAGGAATACACACACATACACACAAACACACATATGTATATATACATGTGTATATGTGCTTTTGTATGTATCAGTATGTGTTATATATTTTTAATTCTGAAATCTTCAATTTGTGAAGCATTCTTAATATGAAACTGATTTGGTGGCATCTCTAGTAGGACAGTAAATAGCAGGAAAGAATTTTGTAGGTGTGTAAACTTTAAAATCAGTAAGTGTCTGAACCACTTCTAGATGATAAATGTCTGAGTAAGTGATAATACTCACTTTTTATCAGTGCCTGATAATAACTGTCTGAATCAGTGTCTTTCCCACACACAAGTAGTTGGCAGGGCAAGGTTTTTTGGGTTTTTTTTTTTTGTCACAAACTGAAAATCCAAGGCTGTGGATTTTTGTTTTTAATTTTTCTTAAAACATCATTATTTTAAATAATTGAATTTTCATAACTTATTTATTTTAAAGTCAATTTAATTTACTCTAAAGAGTCATTTTGGAGTATAAAATGGTACAGTCACTATGGAAAACAGTGGGAAATTAAAAATAAAATTGCCATATGATTCATCAGTTCCCTTCTGGGTATATATCCAAAAAAAAAATTGACCGCAGGATCTCAAAGACATTTGCACATTCGTGTCCATAGCAGCACTATTTACAGTAGCCAAGAGATGAAAGCATTGTTGACAGATGAATGGATAGACAAAATGTGGTGTATACAAAGGGCCATTATACAGCCTTAAAAACAAGGAGGTGGGGCATGGTGGCTCAGCCTGTAATCCCAGCACTTTGGGAGGCTGAGGTGAAAGGATTGCCTAAGCCTGGGGGTTCGAGACCAGCCGGGCAACTTGGTGAGATTTCATCTCTACAATAAGTCACAGAAACTAGCTGGACGTGGTGGTGCACGTCTTTAGTTCCAGCTACTTGGAAGGCTGAGGCGGAAGGATCGCCTGAGCACAGCAGATCAAGGCTGCGGTGGCCATGAGCGTGCCACTGCACTCCAGCCTGGTTGACAGAATGAGACTCCAACTCAAAAAAAAGAAGGAAATTTTGACACATACTATAACATGTATGAACCTTGAGGACATTATGCTAAATGAAATAAGCTAGTCACCAAAAGACACATACGGTGTGATTATATGAGTTATCTAGAGTAGTCAAATTCATTGAGACAGAAAGTAAAATAGTGGTTGCCAAGAGCTGTGGGGATGAGGGAAATGGAAAATTGTTTAATAGGAACAGAATTTCAGTTTTGCAAGATGGAGAAGTTATGGAAATCTCATAGCGATGTAAATATACTTAACACTACTGAACTGTACACTTGAAATGGCCAAGTTGACATATTTTATATGTTTTTTTGCCACATTGAAAATTGTTTAAAGATTATTTTGTGTTACTTAACAAAACTCTTAAATTTTATGTTATGAGCCGGGCTGGGTGGCTCAGCCTGTAATCCCGTGCCTTTGGGAGGCTGAGGTGAGTGGATTGCCTGAGCCTGCGGGTTTGAGACCCGCCTGGGCAACTTGGCGAGACCTCATCTCTACAATAAATCAAAAAATCAGCCAGGTGTGGTAGCTCATGCCTGTAATTCCAGCTACTTGGAAGGCTGAGGCGGAAGGATCACCGGAGCCCAGCAGGTCGAGGCTGCGGTGGCCGGGAGCAGCCACTGCACTCCAGTCTGGGCGACAGAGTGAGACTCCAACTCAAAAAACTAACAAACAAAAATTTTATGTTATGCATAAAATTTATTGGATAATCTTTTTCTTTCAGCATTGTGTGTGTACAAATCAGCCAAAAGGAGTCTATGCTGCTTTAAAGAGTCATGTGATACATTCTTCTAAGATCATTACTTTACAAACTAAACAAAAATAGGAATCTTTGATCTTCTTTACTCTTTGAATTATCTGAGGGTTGCTTTACTTATTCATTAACATGAAATAAATGGAAAACTGGGTTCACGTAAATTTTTTGAAGGGAAATACCTATCCTCATAGAATGAAGAGAAAATTGTACCAACAATTTATCCTTCACTCTTGCAGAAAAGAATTCACTACCATTATTTACCACATAAGGAAATAGCAACATGTACTCTTAGGTAGTGTTATAAGAGGAAAGTTATTGGTACCTCTATGAATCAAACCTCGAAATGCTCATAGCATCCATTTATTGACCAGGAAGTCAGTTAAGGCTGTAGGACCTGTCTGGAATCTTATTTGCACGGCAAGCACACCATTAAATGTTTATGTGGGATGGGATGAGGAAAAGCTAGTGGAGATTTGAGGATAATAAAGATATTCCTTAAGACTGCCACTGGCCTGGAGTACATCTGTCACTTCAATCCCTGTGGTGGACTCTGAAAAATCTGAGGAGGCCATAAAAATTTTGAGGAAGCATAGTTTAAAAAACATTTTCAGCATTTAGCCCTTCCCTCAATGCTTGTATATTCAGAAAGTGTTCAGGGGTTCTTTATTTGTATATTATGTCTTCAGGGTCTTCTAAAAAATGGCATTTTAGAACCTTATCTCTACTAATCAAAATTCATTCATTCATTTATTTGAGTTGGAGTCTCACTCTGTCACCCAGACTGGAGTGCAGTGGCCACACCCGGCCACCACAGCCTCGACCTACTAGGCTCCGGCAATCCTTCCACCTCAGCCTTCAAAGTAGCTGGAACTACAGGTGCGTGCTACCACGCCCGGCTTTTTTTTTGATGTATTGTAGAGATGAGGTCTCGCCAATTTGCCCAGGCGGGTCTCGAACCCGCGGGCTCAGGCAATCCACTCACCTCAGCCTCCCAAAGGTGTGGGATTACAGGCTGAGCCACCGACCCCGGCTATCAAGATTTATTAAATGTTCAAGTCAAGCCAGGAAACATTTAGAGTCATTTTTCTAGGTAATAGGAGGGGGAGGTAGTCATTTCTTACTTGTTTTCCCATAGTCCTTTGTTTATACTTTTGTTTATAGCATTTATCACATTATGCTATATTGAGTTATACTTTTTTAAAAACTTTATCATCTCCACTAAACTTTTAGTTTTTAAGGGCAAGGATCATTTTCTGTCCATCTCTCTATACTCTCACTGTCTGAGGAAGATCCCCAAACTTAGTAGGTATCCAGCGAACATGCTTAGAACTTACGAAGTATCCACAGTTTCTTCCCTCAAAGAGCTTCTTTTAGTGACTGTTGCTAATGTAAAATTAGCCCAGTGGCGTTATCATGAAACAGAGCCACTTGTTTGGTTTTCCTGTGAGATGTCCATCCTCATCTCTTTCCCTTAAGCAATTGAAAAAAAATGTACGGGCTATTTTTCTTTCTTAGATAAATAAATTTAGATAGTTTCTTGATTTTGCTTTTAAAAAAATTGCTAAGCTTGTTTCTAGTAATATCAATCACTTATCTATAAATAATAATGATCTTTATTTTGTATGCCATTTTCCTTAAGAGTTCCCAGACTCTAGTATTTTTCAAAGTGACATGCTGAATATAGTTCCTTTTGGAATGTCTGGTGACATGACTGATCACAGTAGCCCTGTAGAACATGAAGCAAATCAAACCATAGAACATGAAGTGAGAGCAGAAATCCTGAGATAGAGCTAAATGTATTGGAAGAGTAAATCTTTCTTTCCTCATCCCTTACCCAATTGCTAAAGAAGTGATTTTTAATTTAAATCAATATTTACACTTTTGGCCATGAGAAACAATGACAGAGTACTCTAGTTTATTTTCATAAAGTAGAGATTTTAATTCAGCTCAACTCACATTTATTATGAATCTACAATGAGACAAACATTGTGAATATTTGTGCTTCACTTTTGAATACGTTTTTAATACTTTTGGTGTTTATATAAAATATGTTTAATAATTATTTTTAATTGGGTAAAATATGAACCTTTATTATGGCAGAACTGGTTAGATTTGGCCTTTTTTCATTGTCATTTAAGTATTGATCTTATGATACTATCTAAATCTTCACCTTCTGAACATATTGTTAAGATATGAAACAGTAAGAAATATGAATGTGAGGAACACTGGAAAGCCTTTTAACTATTACAAACACAGTAATATTGTTATTACTATAGCAAATCAGAAATTATAGCAACTAGTCATATTCTTATATTGGGATAATTCATTTTATAGTGTTACAGAATTCCATTATAATAAATTAGATCATAATGAAAATTTTTGTGTACTGAAATGTTGTATTATTTCAGTGAAGACCTGATGTAGTTTTTATGATTTCTTAAGTATCAGTCTGTAATCCCGCGCCTTTGGGAGACTGAGGTGAGTGGATTGCCTGAGCCTGCGGGTTCGAGACCTGCCTGGGCAATGTAGACCCCATCTCTACAATAAAATAAAAAAATCAGCTGGGTGTGGTAGCGCATGCCTGTAATTCCGGCTATTCGGAAGGCTGAGGCAGAAGGGTCGCTGGAGCCCAGCAGGCGAGGCTGCAGTGGCTGGGAGCGGCTACTGCACTCTAGTCTGGGTGACCGAGTGAGACTCCAACTCAAAAAAAAAAAAAAATCAATTTTTTTCCATAGGTGTAAAGATCAGGCAAAGTGATATGTAATAGATCCATGGCTTGGGTCTCAAGTTTGTGGCAGCTTTCTGACTAATGTGTGTTGTAGATGATGCGTTAAGGGCCCCGTTTTAGTTTTAAGGTAAATGTTCCTGAGCCAGGGGCCACTGGAGCCAATTCTGAACTTGCTTTCTGCCTTTTTGGTTCTGACCTTTATTTCTACTCTGTCATAGAAAGTGACAGAATAATGTCCCAGGTACAAATCTATGTGTTAATATCACAGAGGCTTGACACCAATTTCTCATTCTGAAACTAGTTAATTGTTCTGTAATATAATTGAGGTGGTATAGTGTGAGTCTGATTAAGCACAAAAAATTACAGAGCCAGATTGCTGGCATTAGAATGCTGGATTCATTACTTAATGGCTGTGTGACCTTGGGCAAGTTACTTACCTGTAAAATGGGGAT